CGCACACGCACACGCACACGCACACGCACACGCACACGCACACGCACACGCACACGCACACGCACACGCACACGCACACGCATACGCACACGCACACGCACACGCACACGCACACGCACACGCACACGCACACGCACACGCACACGCACACGCACACGCACGCGCACGCGCACACGCACACGCACACGCACACGCACACGCACACGCACACGCACACGCACACGCACACGCACGCACACGCACGCACACGCACGCACACGCACGTACACGTACACGTACACACGCACACACGCACACACGACACGCAGACACGCAGACACGCAGACACGCAGACACGCAGACACGCAGACACGCAGACACGCAGACACGCAGACACGCAGACAAGCAGACACGCAGACACGCAGACACGCAGACACGCAGACACGCAGACACGCAGACACGCAGACACGCAGACACGCAGACACGCAGACACACAGACACACAGACACACATACACACATACACACATGGCTTCCGTTGAAAAAGGTCGGCTAAGCAGCTATATACAGTATGTTCATAGTTCCTGTTGCATCTTGTTTTTTCCTTTTCGACATGAAGCGGGCCCCCACCTAAATCATGCAAATCCCACTGGCAGCGCTAGCTTCGCGCTAGCTCGGCGCTAGGTCGGGGACGTTAGTTGACGCGTGAGATGCGCACGCATGGCCCTTCTGTCCGGTGGCTCTCAGCGCTCGAGGCATTCCTTGCTCTCAACGCGAAAGTGCTGCGTCTGCCAAGAGATCTGCACGTGTCTTTTGCGAAAGTGACGCGCCTGCCATGCCTGCCCTTCCGAAAGTGTTGCGCCTGTCACGAAATCTGTATCGGACCGTGCAACACGTGACCCTGCAAAAAATAAGAAAACATGGGCAGTTTTTCGCGCTAGCTCCGCGCTAGCTCCGCGCTAGCGCCGCGCTAGCAGGCAGTTGCCAACTTGAACACGTGGGCATGTGCCTGGTTGGAGGCAATACCCAAGAAACCACTTTCATGTTTCTTGGCTGTAGTTGGTAGTCAGGCCAATTAAAGCTATATACGCATCTCCGTTTTGCTACTTGCTGAAGATGTGGTGTAGAACGTTGGGATTTATTGTGTGTTTAAATATCCTATAGCAGCAGCTTTAAGAAAAGGCCCGCGCTAGTGCGCCTGTCAGTGATTTGCACGTTTCTTAGTCAAACGTATTGTGCCGCAATGGTTACGTGTTCATATGGCCCGCATGATACGGGCCCCCATGGAATGGCGATTTACGCTACAAAACTGGGAGCCAACATTTTGACAACCAGCCACATACACACATACACACATACACACATACACACATACACACACACACACACACACACACGCAAGCACCCGCAAGCACTCGCAAGCACTCGCAAGCACACAACCACACAAACACACAAACACACAACCACAAACACACAAACACATGCAAGCGCACAAACACACAAACACAACCACAAGCACAAGTACACAAATTCTCAATGCTAGGAGGGGACAAGGTGACAAGGTGCGTCGTGGCTGGCAGTTTCCGCGTGGAGCGAGGGTTTACTTGTCAGCCCCTCCGGTAAACAGAGCCAAGCCACTTTGGTGACTGGCACGCATTCCCGTCAGGTAGAGGAGAAGCTCGGGGTGAGCCTTCCGGCCACTCGGCAAGGATGGTTGTCACACTGTAAGTCACTTTCAGTGCTGTTGAAGGTTGTCAAGGTTTGGCGAGATTGAGATGTGAGCGGTTCATGGAGGAGGATGAAGGTCTGTTGAATGCGCGGTGCTCATTACGAGGTGTGTATGTGGGTGCAGTGTGGGATTTGTCAGGCTGTGTGCCCATGGACGGCACGTGGTTTGCCCAACACAGACCAACTTGGCAAAGGTTTGTCGTGCGGGAAGTTTTGGGTTTCGTGCAACACGGAACGGGTCAGAACCTCTTTGGCATACTGTGCGACCAGCATCGAGTTGAATTGTGTCTCTGTGACAGTGCGCCCATTTTGACTGAGACGGATCCCAAGGATAGGCAATATTTTGGTTTCAGAGCAGCTCTCAGCCTCCACTCAAGGGATACAGATCTGACCAAGCCTTGGGCTGCCGATGGCTGCGCCCGAGCTTTTCACTCTGGGGTTTCCAACCACGGCAAGCTTCAGCTGAGGAGAAGGAGGAATGGTGGCAATCCTTGTACGTGCAGCTGCCCACAATGGCCGCTTCATTGAAGAAGGCAGATGTGGCTGTGGGTCAAAAGCAATGGGATCCCATTTTGGGTAGGTGCACCCATTTTAGTCTATTTTAGCGGGGGTTGGGACTTTCACTGGGGCTACGGGCTTTTGACCCATGGCCATGTTTCAGCTGGACTGGGAAACGACAGAAGCGCAGCGACGCGCTGGGGTTTTGTTGGCTGAGATGGCTATTGCTCTCTCCAAGGTATGAACTCATTGATGCACCCAACAGACACGACTACCTCGAACAAGCAGTTGTGGGGGGGGGGGGGGGGAGGATTCTTGTGTTTGCAGCAATTAGTATGCTTCAACTGCCACCAGATGCGCTGCAAGCTGCACCTTGATCGAAGAGAATCCATGACACTTACTCAGATAGAATATGAAAGGCGAGCGTGCCATGCAGAAAGACAGCACCGAAGGACGTATGACTGCTGCTAGTCACAATGATGCAAAGGCAACCAGGGAGTGGGCTTTTCCTACCCAGCGTAACCATGAATGACCCAGCCTGCTCAGTCCAAATGTGACAAAAGCTGAGGTGCTTTTGTTCATCAACTCCTTGCTGCTGCCGTACCTGATCAGCGGAATTTGCTCTTTGGTATGGCGAGGGGGGGCGAAAGCATTGTACACACGACCAAATTACCCATAGCTGTGATGGTGTTTTCCGAGGTTTCCTTGTGCTTCTTGGGTGATTGTGACACATCTTGCCAACAGAGTGGCATCCTGGAAACACAAGCCTGAGCCGTGTCAAACCCTGCGATCGGAAGCCCTTGCCTGCTTTGAGTAAGCAAGTTTGCGCAGCATGCCTGATGTTCCCAGCAAACTGAGAGCAGCTTAAGCTTCTGTCCTCATGGACAAATCTTTTGGGCCATTGCATCGCGGCTGGCTAACATGCAGCCTACATGACCGACCTGTGCAAGTAAACAGGTGCCGACCTTGATGGCCAGTTGGGGGGAGGAATGCAGATCAGAAATGTACGGGGACTTGGAACCTTCCCCCACCTCTTGGGGGTGCTGCACTGGACACTTCGATTTCAATTCTCTCATCCGACAGCCCATGGTCGCCTTCACTAGCTGGGCTCAGGTCTCTTTCAGCGCAGCCACACCCTGTCCAAGGCGCGTACGCGGTTTGCAGGAACTGATTGGCTGGCCAGTGACCGCTGAAAGCATGTGAACGCTGGGCTGGATGGCTGGCTGCAAGGCTGGCTCTTGGAGATAGCTTTACTTTGGGAAACACACAGATGCTCACTTGTGCTGCGGCTGCTGTTTTCCCATCAGGAAAGGCATTCTTGCTACAAATGATTTCCCTTCCACCCTGGGCCCTCTTATACACAGACTCCGCTCGGCTCGGCAGACCGCAGGTGCTTGGCTACTGTTGGTGGGACAAAGACCTGTGGTTTCCTCCGGCATTTGAACGGGCATCTGACAAGGGTCCGAAGACTTATTGTTTTTTGGCTCAACCCACAACACCCCGTTGTTTGGGCATTCAAGCGAGACACACTGGAAGGCATCCAACCATTTGGAGGGGTGCCTATGAATAATCCAGGAAGTCTCACAGTGAGCATAACCGGGTTTGGGGCTCGCAGGCTGAGATCAACCAGATGAACCTGAACTATGTCTTCTTGGCACCTTGGCGACGTCCTGCCAAAAAGCAAATAGCTGCAACCTCAAGTGGCATCAGACAATGGTCCCTTGTGGGGTGTTTGGGTTTCAGTTTGCACTGAAGCTGGTGCAGGCTGTACCTGTTCAATCCAATCTTTGTGGCCAGGAGCAAAGTCCAGAAAGTCAGCATGAGATAACACGAGCCTTTTCAACACGGACGCGATCTGTGATTTCTGTGATTTCCTGGTGTAAGGCTACCATGGGGACCCCCACTATGAAGTGGGTCTAACTCAAGCATGTTACCGGAGTGACTGCGGCTTATTTGTAGCCAGTTGGGTTCGGTGGAATGGGAGGCTCACAGCTGAGGGTTGCACTCTCACAATGCGTGTAGGTAGCAACTCTGCAAGGTTGCGGCAATGACCGCAATGAAACTGGCCGTTGAGAAGCCGTAAAGAAGGCTGTTCCTCCAGTTGAACGGAGGTGATTTTAGGGCAAAGGGGCACAAGAAGAGCGTACATATCAGGACCCCGCGTAGGCATATTACTGCACGAGCGTAGGCGCGCATAGCCAATTTTTGACAGTCAGCTGGGTGCTTCGCACGAAGGCACTTTGGCGGCCTTCTGCTCTTGTGAAGTTGTACAGCTTACTACAGCCACGCTTGTTGCGGGAACCGTTATTTCGTCGTGCTCAGCTTGAGGTGCTGAACCAGCTGCTGATTCCGCTGCTGGGATTGACAGGCATGCCGGCGCTGCTGGAGTTCCTGGAGGTAAAGCTCAACGACCACAAGGAGGACATGTTGCGGGCGGCGGGTTTTCAGCTAAGATTTCGGGAGCCATTCAGTTGAAACATGCTTCGCGTACCAGGGAGACCGTCATATGTGGGTCAAAATGAAACCACCAGCAAACCACAGGTTTTAGTCCTTTCCATTTGCCAGGGCAACCCATTTTGGGGTTACCCGATTTTTGACCCACACGTAGGGCGGGTGATTTTGGCCAGAGGACATCTCCATTCTGCAGCTGCTGGATGGGACTCTGCTTCGGTCTCCTGGGCTTTTCTACGTGTCTCAGCATGGAGCTTCAAGCAGCGGTGACCACCTTTGGGAAATTGACATTTTGGGGAGAGGCTGATCTGACCGGAACAAATTCAGCCTAATTCAGTATTGGCACGGATCATGACTTTCCGAATGTGGTATCACTGACGTGACATGGCTTTCGGACACGTTACAATGGTTGTGGGGGCGAACATGTGCAACGAAAATGCAGACCAGTTGCTTTGCTTGTTCATATTCATTTGGGCGCGATTCGTTCTGATGCCTTTGAGACACCTGGAAAGGCGCAAGCATGCATATGCCTTTGACATGTTTTGATGTGTGACCCCGGCATTTGCGAAGCGACCGTGAGAAGAGTCTGCGAGGTTCGTTCATTGTGAATGTTGGTCAATGTGACTTCCCCCGGGCCGTACAGCCAATGTGCCAGCTTTGAGCGAGCCGAGGTCCGCTACTTGTTGAACTGCGCGTTCATGACAAACACCAACAGCTTGCTGAGCCTTCTCAGAAGCGCAGATGCGACCAAACCGTGCCTACACTGTCAACGGGACTCAGTATCATAAGAGCCATGGAACATTGGGGAGATGATTTGGCATAGTCAATTCAGAAAACTTAAGCAGGATGACGAGAGCAGTTTCCTTCAGGGGAGAACGACAAGCGATCAGGGCTGCTGTTTTATGCCAGCTGCGGGTGACTCTTGAATCTTCATGGATTTTCAAAAAAAACAGTTTGTAAGGGGGGCTTTTCGCGCTCCGGTTGCTGGCGCTATTTCAATCTCGCATGGGATTGCGTTTCCGTCTTTCTTTCTGTGACATTCTATGTTCTACATGTGTGTGTGTGTGTTGCGTTTTGTTTTTCTTTTCTTGTATCCTTTTTGCACACTTCTCAAAACCTTGCAAAATTCCAGCGGCCATGGGTCAAAAGCCCGTACCCCCAGCGAACATCCCAATCCCCACTAAAATAGGTTCTATGGGTGGTGAATTCACCAATCCCCCAAAATGGGATCCCAAAACGGTTTTGAGCCACAGCCAAACGGCCATCGCAAGGAAGAATTGGTTGGATGGAACAATGGACCAAACACCTGGACAAAAAGGGTGGTGTCTACAGAGAACGATGTGTGAAGAGAATGGGGAATCAAACCTTCGAAAAGTTCAAGCACATTGTGGGATCCCCTTGGTTTTGACCCACAGCCATATAAATCTACTGCTTTGCTGCTGAAATGCGATCTGTGCCCGCTGAGTGTAGGAATGGGAAAACTCGGTCAGCAGCTGAACGGAGGAACTTGCCTCAGCTCTGCATGCGATGGCTCTTCGAGGAGGCGGAGCCTTGGCCTTTCGCCTGGGGCTATTGGTACGCCTTCGCCCTGGCCACCCTCACGACGGCCGGACCCGGGCGCTTGGGGAGGGGGGGGGGGGGCGGTCTGGCAAAGAATGGTCCAAGCCGGGAACATGAAGAGAGGGCGGAGTTGTTTTTTATCTTCTTCTTTTTTTCTTCTTTTTTCTCTCTCTCTCTCTCTGTTTGTCTCTCTTTCTCCGTCTCTCTCTCTCTCTCTCTCTCTCTCTCTCTCTCTGTCTCTCTTTCTCCGTGTTTCTTTCTCTGTATCTTTTGCTCTTTTCCCCAGATAGCTGAAAGCTATAGGGGTTCTAACTTCTAATAAAGACGGGAAAGTTATTTGCGAGATTGATGGGCTGGTGCTAGGGGGCGTGCAGTTTGGGATACTGGTGTAGGTGCTGTTTTGGGGGGTGACGGTGCGCTCGCATTTTTGCATCTTCGTGGTAGGTGCTAGGGGGCATGCAGTTCGGGGTGCTGGTGCAGGTGCTGTTTTGGGAGGTGACGGTGTGCGCGTGCATTTTTGCAGCAGCAGAACATAACAGAACAGAGTCCTGTGCATGCGGAGGTGCTTTTGGCCTTGGAAATCCGAGGCATATTTCCTTCCAAATTGCATGCCATCGTCCGCATTGAAATCATGTTATTGGCTTGCAGTTTCCATGCACCGGTTGGCCGTGATGCTTCTGGGAAGACCCTGCCGTGTTCCGGCAGAATGAACGCCGATGCAAGCATGCAAATGGTATTTGTACATATACAGTCGTATCTTGGAAGTGTAGCTGCAGTTTGCATTTGGAATTATCTTTGTTGTCTGCACATGCGAGCCCGATACAATAAGAAGAAGGATGGAAAGCATGGTATACTGCATATGTGTGTCTAAAAGCAAGCGCATGTGAGTGTGTGTGTATGTGCGTGTATGTGTATATGAGAGTCGTCCGAAAGGTCGTTGTATTCAGCTATGAAGGGGAAGACCTTTTGGTCTTAGCGTTGACCTTCGCGAAAGTTCCGCGAAGGGGGTCGCGAAAGTTATTTTGTTTTCCGCGAAAGTTTTTTGTGGCTTGCAAACAGGAAGCTGGAGTGATGAACCATGTGTATTTACCGGCAGTGCGCGCAGAATGCCCGCAGACTAAAGTTGGTCGGAGAATGCGTAGTCTGAGGGTCGCCGCAAGAATACGCCGCTGCAACTGCAACCCCCAGCCAGCAGAAACCAGCTTCTGGGAGGTTTGAAGCCGTCGGGCAAGCTGAGTGCAACTTCCAGCCGGATTTTCGCGAATGTTTGGCGTAAGATCCGCGAAAGTTTCGCGAAAGTCGGCGGACCTCCTCGCCAGTTTCCGGACATGAGGCCAACGGGTCTTCTCATGCGCAGCTTGCGGCTTGTGAGCTGGAGCTGCGGAAGCGCGCTTCGCGTGCTACTTTGGAACTGGAAGGTCGCGACTTTCGTGCGGAAGTTCACTTTGTGTACTACTTTCGTATTGAAAAGTTCTGACTTTCGAGGCTGACGAAGTTTAGTCGTGTACTACTTTCGTATCTGCGGAAGTTTACTTGTAGTACAGCTACTTTCGCACTGAAGAGCTGCGACTTTCGAGCTGGGGCTGCGAAAGTGTACTTCGTGTACTACTTTTGTGATGAATGTTCTGAAAACAGCCCCGCGAAAGTTCCGCGATGGGGTCCGCGAAAGTTATTTTTTTCTCGCGAAGATGGCGGTTTCCAGAACAAGGAATTTCAGACAACCGTCATATGTGTGTGTGTGTTTCTGTGTATTTGTGTGTGCGTGGGATTGCAAACATTACATTTGTCATTATTTCGTGAATTTAGTTATTTATGTATTTTCTATTTCAGTTGTGCATTTTTTAAAAACAAAATCCATTTAATTACTTCTTTGTTCATTCATTTATTCTCTTGTTCGATTGTTGACTTTTATTTAGTTGTTTACTTGTTTGTCTATGTATACATATATATATATTCATATAGGTTTGTTAGTTCATTTATTTACTTTTTTCTTTTCGTTTATACATTTACTTTCCACTTTGGTGGGGGGGGTTCGACGTAATTGAACGCAAAACCGACCTATCGCCTTTTAAGGCATGGTGTACGTGATGCGCCCCGCGAGAGGACAGTCAACGAAAAACATGAATCGCCCCAGAGATGAAGCATGAGTCAAGCAACCCATCAGCGTGGCTCGACTCTCGATTGCGAGGGTTTTAACCCATTTGGGTATGGGTCAAAATTAAACCACCCGGGAACTGCAGGTTTTAGTCCATGTTTCCATTTCTCAGGGCTTCATTTTGGGTACCTATTTTTGACCCACAGCCATTTCGCCGCCGTACGCAACTTCCGTGCCGCCGGCGACATGCTGGCGGTTTAGCAGCTTAACTTCACTTGTGGCTTGCTCTCGCGGCGGCCCCCTTCACCGGCGAGTTTTCCACGCATCTGCTGCAACGCGCGTCTCCTCGTTCCAGATTGCGCCAGGGCAAGGTCCTTCGACAAGACGTGCGACTAACATTTGCGGTGTTTGGTGCCAAACATGAAGGGTCATTTTATAACTGGGTCGCCTCAAGCAAACGAGGGGTTACGCAACGTGCACGCGCTAGCTTGTGGCTCAAAGGATTCTAGATCGCTAGCTTGGATAGTTCTGCCTTTCCCTGCCAGAAGCAGCCGCGGGCTGCCAGAGCGCAAGCTTCACTTGGGGAATTTGAAGCGGGCGCGCCGCTTCAATCCAACTCCGCAAAGGAAACCAGTTTGGCGCTCGCTTTGTCGCAGCATGCCTCGAAGGCTGGTCTCCACCACAAGCAAGACGCGCGTTTCAAAGTAGAGCAGTTCATGGTTTTTGCTCGAGCTGGCATTTTTGCGGACCCAGCGCTCGCCTTTTTTTGTCAAGCGCACGCCAGGCAGTCAGCCTCGGCAGCTTGGTGCCTGCTCTTTTTCCGATCGGGGCCCTCCTCTTTGGGATGAAGTACCGCCACTTGGCAGAGAGCAGCGTACATGGCAGCTGCAAAACGGATTCGAGCGATCCTTTTGGCCGTTTGCGTTGGGTTAGGAGATGCTGTCAGAAGTTCAAAGGTTGGAGTCCAACACAAGAGTCAGGGCACCAGGAAGTTGTTTTGCCGGAAGGCTGCTGATTGAAAATCGAGCGGCCGTTGCAAATCCTCAGCGCTGCCCTTTGTCGACTTTGTCTGCTGCCCTTTTGGAATATCCTGGGCTAGAACACCATTTAATGTCGCCTGAAACATCGCAGGCTGGCAGATATCCATTGCATGCCGTCCATCGGGTCTTACTGACTGTGTTTCCCGTTTGTTGTTCCACGTTGCCCTAAGTTGCGTTGCCCTACGTTGCTTTGGGGCTTGAGGTTGAAGCTTGATATTGGTTCGTGTCCGAGGCGTGGACAAACACATTCTCAATGAGCGTGCCTATCTATGCGGTCCCGAAAGTCAGGCGAGGCAAGGCTGGCAGGCTTGCAGGCATGTTGCACGGCCCAACGCGCGCAGAGCATAAGGGGAGTCGTATGGGAGGGCTGATCTCAGGCTGAAATGTGCAGGTTTTGTCTTATTGACCCCCATGGCCCCATGCAGCCTGCTCAGCGGCGGGGCGCAGAATCTTAGGAGTCCCAATTTCTGATGCAGGCCCAGTAAACTTCCCATCGGCAGGGCCTCTTCCTGCCCCGTGTCCTCTTCATCATGCGCCGCTCGGGAGAATGCAGGAAGAAGGTTGGGTCGAAGAAGCGCTTGGGAAAGACACAGCGGGTATTCGCGCAATAATTCTCTCCTGTGGGTACCACGCCTGATATCAGCCACTAGAGGGGCCAAAAGACAGGATACCTGCGATGGCCGTAGACCTAATGCTTCACTGTGACCACCCACAACCCTCACGTGAAAGTGCCAACGTTTTCTGGCTCTCTAACTTTTTTGTGGCGAGAGCAGCTCGCGGGACTGGCTGCGCATGGAAGATGTTGCTCGTTGTAAGGCCCGTGAAGAGTTGACCTATCTGGCCAAATTCTGCACGGAAAGGTTGGAAGGGCTGCTCCTTTGTCTTTGCAGTTTGAAACGCCTAAGTTTCTGGATCAAACAATTCATCAGTATTTCCCCCGGTTGAATAGATGACTTGTGTTGCCTTGTCTCCTTGCGTGCATCCTTGACGTCTTGGCAGTTGGGCTCGTGTTTGTCTCCTCACAGGAAGATTCATGGCCACCTAAGACCTCTTTGCTCTTCCCCCCCTTTCGGTCTTTCTTTTGCTGGGTTGAGTTACCCTGCGCGGCCTCAACAGGGCTGGCCGTCTGAACGGGGCTGGCCATCTGAACGGGGCTGGCCGTCCGGCGGCTCCATGAAGGGCGTCAAACAGATGAGCCACAATCAAAACCAGGGTAAGTGAAGGTTAGTAAGGGACGATCCCAGCCATAAATAGCAGCGGATATCCGCCTTCTTAGTTCTTTAAGCATGGTTCTGGGTCGACCATTTTTGTACCATGTTCTGAGCAAGTGACTCAGATGCGTCGAGGCATGATGGTGGTGGGCTCCTGGTTGGCGGTGGGCAGCTCGCTGCGCCTCACCGCCAGCTTCTTCCAGGGCCGCTGGGACTCCCCGGTGCCGCTCCGCGTCTTGGAGTGGCCCGGCGAAAGGCAAGCGAAAGGCAGACGGTGGTGGTGGTGGTGGTGGTGGTGGTGGTGGTGGTGGTGGTGGTGGTGGTGGTGTGCTTGCCTTGTCGTGGTCGGGATCGTTGTCACCGTCGCCAACGTTTGCTGCCGAAGTCGGCGTCGTCGTCATTGCTGCGCTTGGTGTTGCTGCGGTGGTGGTGGCGTGGGTGGTGAACATGGCGGTGATGGTTGTGATGATATTGTTCGTAACGAGTCTTCCATGCAGGGCCCAGAGCGCAGGAATATTCATTGAGACCAAAAGACAATTAAGTGTCCGGCTTTTGGTTTGCCTGCTCTCCTGCTTCTAGTTGCAAGGTTTCGAGTTCCATGGTCGCTTGATACGCGGCAACTTCCCTGCCGATGTGGCAACCAACAAATTGTGTGTTTATATATATATATATATTCAGTTCTTTCACCGCAGCAAAGGGCAAGTCCACTTGAAGCTGTTTTCACCTGCCATTTGCCTGCCTTCGCTTTGATCGAGGAACTCCTGCTCGCTCCTGGTTGCCTTTGCCGTGCTGCTGGGGGTTTGGAGCCTGTGGGAGAAGGGCAACGATGTGCACACGGCCCGCTTTGAGCGGCTTGGCCCAACGCCAGGCTTCGGGTCTGGCAAGCGATCGAAGTCCCACAGAGCGACGATGTGTTGCTCAGCTTTGGGATATTTGAGTTTGGTATAAAAACGAAAAACACGGTATGTAAAAAAAAGGTTGACATACTCAGGTAGGTTACAACCTACGTTTTCTACAATACCAACTACCTCCAGTTTGGTATTCGGGCAACCCTCGTGTCCACATCTGCTTTGTTTCACTGCGAAATGAGAAAGAGTTAGAAACGCGAGAGTGATAACGGGAAGCAACCTTGTCAACTGGCAGGACACAGCCTGTTGCTAAAGTGTACTTTGGGTACCTTAAAGGCACGGAAGATAAAGCAATCGTTCAAGACTTACAACAGGATAACCCTCTGTGTTGAATCGTGAATAGCGAAACCAGAGCGAGCTGCGCCCGGCGGTCTCACTGGCAAATTAAAGAGGAGGCTGGAGCCTTCTTAAGAGAGTGATAATGACACGAAACATGAGGAAGATGTTCCAAACAACAAAAAGCGCTGCTGCATATCTCATGGCGCAGTTTTCAAAGGGCCAGTGTTTTCTGGCTGTTGCACGATGTTGCATGGGATAAATACTTCTTCTCAGACGGGTCGGGAGTTGTTGAAGAAATGGTTTCTGGGGCTGTCCGACAGCTTCCTAGGCACAGTGAGATCGAATCAAGGACTAACCACATGGGGTTATGCCGATGTCTGAATTGTGAGACTGAACTTGGGTTTCATTTGAGGTGGCTCTGTTACTCTGGCAACAAGGAGCACGAGAGCAATCTATTCGACAGGCCGGGCAGCTGTAGGTTGCTGAAGTCTCGAGCGACTATTATATACTTGGAGGACCAGGGCAGCAGTCGTGGTGTCGTTTTCGACCACCATTGGGACCTGGGTCTGATATGCCACCTCAGACGCATTTCAGAGACTGACACGGACAGGCAGCTGTGAGAGTCATCCTGCGAAAACAAATTTGGCGGTCCTGGCATGACCTGCAATTTGGCAATTGTTGCTGGAACCAAACTCGTGTTTGCCCCACTGGTTTCGTCTCTCACCCCTGCGCCCTTCAGAACACTTTGTAGGTCTTTGGACGCGATCTTCGGCAAGCTGGGTGAGGTGGGATGAACCAGTGCTGACTGACACAGAGCAACAGATGCAGAGCAACAGATGCAAAAGCAGATTGCTCCCCCGCCTATGATGCTCATTTATGGGGACAAGAAGGTGAGACATGACCAAAGCGTAAACTGGAGCGATGCGAGAGCCATGCGATGCATGAGTCTGTGAGAACCATGCTCTAGGCGTGGGCATGCGCCAGACGGTCTATCCATTATATGTAAGTTGCACAGCTAGTATTTAATTTTCCAGCAGTGGTTGCAGGCAAGTAAGGACATCCAACAATGGGTGACGCATGTCGATTGTCCACTTTGCGTAACAGTGGATCACCTTGGATTCACAAAACGTTGGGCTTCATCGGGGTTCATCTTGGATTGTACCCCAAGCTCCGACTAGGCCTTTCCCTTCGATCATTGTGGCGCTAGAGACTTGAACAGCGGGTTCAAGATGCAGACCAACTAACTCATTTTGATTTCACTGGTCCGAGAGAAATCCACCTGATTCTGTCTGAGGTGAGCGCCAAAACGGAGGTCACCGTGCAGCAGCAGCCGTCGAGGATGCTCAAGGCGGAGCGATGCAATTCTGAGGACAGATGAACAGATTATGCACTCAATTCTTCCATTTGTCGGCATCGGTGTTTAGATCACTCTCGATCTCGGTCGGCTAGCCATTTTGGGGTCGACACGATCATGGGGTTTAGGTGTTTCCACATTGGTTGCGGTCTCAAATGCTGGTTCCCCTCCACCTGCTGGCGCCCATGCCTTGCTGACCCCTGGCGACTTGCACCGGTGCTGGGAACTGGCCTCTCCTTCTCCGGGGGAAGACATCCTGCATCACCAACAAGAAACCAAGCTGACACAAGAAGCAACAAGAAACCACCAAAAGACAACCAATGGCCAACAAACAGCCTGCTTCTCGACAACCAATGGCCAACACGCCGCAAGCCAAGCAACGCAGAACACGAAACCAAGGACTTGCAACGTGCAACAGGCAGCATGCGAGATGCACAAGCAGCTGGCAACAGGAAGCACTCAACAAACATTATCCATCAACCCACATCCCGCAAGCAACGAGAATCAACCAATTTGCATCGAGCAACATGCACAGCGGTACCTATCTTTGATTAAGATATAGCGAACGCACAACACAAGATTCCACACACACACACATGCGCGCCAGTTAATAATTAATATGCCAAGAGCAACAAGCGTGAAGCAATCAGCAGGCAATAATCAGTACTCAACAACTAGAGGACGAGTGGCCCGGAAGCATGGAGGCAAGTTAGTTGTTAGCGATCAAGTAGTCTAGTCGCGACAAGCTGCACACAGACAGATTCCGCTTTTTGTCAGTAGCTCGAATATGGTACTAAAAGTTGAGGAATTTCATGCACTTCTCAGTGCAGGTTCTCCCTGCTCATCGCGATCTTGCCCACCATCATGTCGCGCGTGTAGATCGAGTGGCTCGGCATGTGGATCTCGATGATGCATACCATGCTTCGGGCGGCTCCAACATGAACAAACAGGCAGCAAGCAAACTACCGCGATGTTGATTAGCGCTAGCTTGAACCAACCACCAGGCGCGTGGTGCGGAAGGCGAGGCGGGGGAGAACCAACACCTGAGGCACCGTGGAGAAACCACCACCACCTGGGCGAAGCGAAACTGGAGCGAAGCTCCTGGACATGCAGGCAACTTACAAATGCAAATGCAGAAGTGTGGCACGGAGGTTGTTCAATCTGCTGATGTTGTCCGGCTTCACTCGGCTTCCCTTGGCTTCACTCGAGTGCAACAGCGTGCAGGCAGCACAACTGCTCAAGCATGTTATGTAGGTTGTTCAATCTGCTGATGTTGTCTGGCTTCACTCGGCTTCCCTCGGCTTCACTCGACAGGCAAACGTGGAGTCCACACTAAGCGCTCAAGCATGTCACGCAGGCTGCTCAATGTGCTGATGTTTTCAAAGTGGCAGCATCGAGGAAGATCGCGAAGCGCATGTTAAAAGATACGGCGGCTGCATGCTGCGCGCGAAGCTGTGCGTGGCGGCGGTGTGTGATGCTGCGCGCGATGCTGCGCAGGACGTGGGTGTGACAAAACAAGACTAAAACATAACACAGTAATAAATCACACGCGCCACATGCCCAGGTGCTTGAGAGCCCCGCCGCGCGTCAAGCCGGAACATAGGAACTGCTCCGCAGCTAACTCTACGCGGCAAAGGGCGAGAATTGCTCCGCGCCAGCTTGAACCAACCACCAGGCGCGTGGCGCGGAAGGCGAGGCGGGGGAGAACCAACACCTGAGGCACCGTGGAGAAACCACCACCACCTGGGCGGAGCGAGACCGGAGCGCAGGAAACTTACATAACGAGGTCTCAATGCAAACGCACAAGCGTGTCATGTAGGTTGCTCAATCTGCTGATGTTGTCCGGCTTCACTCGGCTTCCCTTGGCTTCCCTCGGCTTCACTCAAGTGCAACAGCGTGCAAGCAGCACAAATGCTCAAGCGTGTCATGTAGGTTGTTCAATCTGCTGATGTTGTCCGGCTTCACTCGGCTTCCCTCGGCTCCACTCAAGTGCAACATCGTGCAATGAGCACAAATGCTCAAGCTGCTGATGTGAGTTGTTCAATCTGCTGATGTTGTCCGGCTTCACTCGGCTTCCCTCGAAGAGCAAAACGTGGAGTCAGTGCAAGCGCTCAAGCGTGTCACGCAGGTTGCTCAATGTGCTGATGTTGTCTGGCAGCTTCTCTTACCAACTTTTCGAGAAGTACTTCGCCTGTCGCCTATGTTGCTTCCGGGCCACTCGTCTGCATGCTGCGCGCCAAGGTGTGCGTGGCACGGTGCGTGACGCTGCGCGCGATGCTGCGCATGCTGTGGCATATGATGCTGCGCGTGAGGCTGCGCGTGGCGGACTTTGACTCGAGCGTGCGTCGCGCCGGAGTTTTCCGCCTGCGCACAAGCAAGAAGCAAAAGCCTAGAGCGCTCGTGACTCGCTCGCATTGTTGTTGCTCGTCGCGTGCGAGGCGGGTGTCACGCACTTGCAGACAGTCTGCCACTGAGACAACAGAGCTTCGAAAACATTCGCCTGCTCGTTGCACTCAGCAACAAGCCGTGCATCACTACCTGCGCGCTCAGTCTCTACTCACTCACGAGGTAATTATGCTGACCGGAGGAGTCACAAAGATCACGCTCGCCAAGGTCGTCCTTGCAGTCGCCGAAGTCTAACCGCCAAGAAGTTCGACTTTGCTCCACCGCGTACAGAGCCCACAGCACGTATCTCCGATGACGCCATGGACGAAGGCCAGGGCGCTTCTCGAGCAAGAGATCAATTGCGCTCGCAGCAGAAAAGCCGTAGGCTACAATGAGCCACGCGCAGAGCGCGCCAGCGCTGCGGTTGATGCCGCCAAAGCAATGGAACAAGACTTGCATGTCTTTCTTTTCGCAGACGTGAAGTTTGGCCAACCTCCAAAGCTGGCAACAGAGGTGCTTCCAATGCGTGAAGCAGTCCAGAGCACACTGCCGGAGCTGGTCCGCGCTGTTGCGCGGCTGCTTTACAGTCCAGTCCTCTAGGTGTCCTTGGAGATGACGAGCGCCAAAGTCTGCGAAGTATTGGCGCCAATCCTGCGGAGCGCCCCGGACGGTCATCTCCCGGCCACAAAGGGTGACCACTACGTTGACGCGCACTGCGAGCCAGCTGTGGATGTCCGCCAAGGAGCAGGCAGCTTTGAGGCTTCCCAGCAACACATTCTGACTTGCGTTCTCGGAGTGCACGACGCAGGCATCCAGCGGCCAGGCTTCAATGCTCTTGAAGCTATAGTCGTGCTGCCACACTCGGCAGTCCAGGTCCGACCAGGCGCTGCGCTTTTTGAAGCAGCTGTCGACGGCTCGCTGGCGGTCCTCTATCCATTCCTCCAACCCGTCGCATGGCGCAGGCAAAGCGCAGTCCGACATGGTATCAAGCTGCGCCATAGTCTTGCACCAGAAGCTGCTGACGGCCCCTGCACAGCATCCAGTCCGCATGCGCTTCAGTTCTCGTGTGCCCTCGTGCTTTTTTCACAGCCGCCTGTCAACATGAAGTTAGCGCCCGGGATTCGCAAAGAGCACGCCTTCCTGGTCGCGTTTCAAATGGTGTGAGAAAAGACTCGAAGCTACTACTACTACTACTACTAGGTCTCCTTCCGAATTTCCCAGCGTCCGCTTTTGACCTTGGAGGGAGTTTGCGCCACGAGGGCGTCAGCCGGACGCTTCGTCGCCGTGGTCTGCGCGGAGTCAGCCTGCAGCTCCACGACCAGGGAGCGCTCAGCAGCAAGGTTGTCCACTTGGCCCTCGTCCTTGACACGAAACATGCGCTCCACGACCATGGTGACCTTACCCGCTTTGTCTTCGCGAGTCAGCGCTCCGAGAAGTAGCCGGGGAGTCCCGTCGGACATGCTGTACTGCAAGCACTGGGCAAAGCTGCACATGGCTTCCACGCAGAACTCTTCCTCTGCAACAGCCGCGTCGACAGGCACAACTTGGGCGTGCTGAATCAAGACGTGCTCGTCGCTCTGATCGCCAAATCGACGCAGCTCGCCTGCGTCCTTTGCACGTGCCAGGATGGTCACAAAGGCCGGGAAGATCACTGCGCCGTTGACCTTGATGCCCATGCCGGAGTAGGACACGTCAGTGTACACGCTGCTAACCGGATACACGGCCCCTTCTGGCCTCGACCCGGCAAGGCGCAGCACCTTTTTGATCATGGGGCGGCTATGAGCATCGTAGGCCTTTCCCAAGCACGGCTGCGCCGCCAGGACCTGGAACTGACACTCTGTCGAAGCCTTGCTATCGGAGTCTTGAGAGTCCTGTTGGGTCGTAGCAGCAGTAGAGTCTGTCGCAGGCCGATACTTGTTCATGCTGGAGCTGGTGGCCAAGCGAATGTCCAGCTGAGTTCGAAAGCACAGCCCCTCGGGCCCCTCTTTGTCAAGGATACGCAGCAGTGCCTGCTTATCTTCAGCAGCCGACAAGTCACACAGCGCAGCTTCGCCAACGAGAACACGCTCCAAGCAGCCCGTGTGGTCAGCAATGTCCAAAGTTGCAAGGACAGCCACCTCGTCATTCGGCGTGGAAGCGCAGCCCTCAGCCTTCTTCTTGCAGGCCTGTGTGCTTGCATCAATTTTGGTGCGGCAGTGCTTACAAGGTGTATAGCTGGGGCTGCCGTGCACGTTCGTCACCCAGATGCCATGCAGCACAACCTCCACAGCGGCCTCGTTTCGGTTTGTCAGCGCATGAGTTCTAGTCTAGCACTACAGGGCTGTCACCCAACTGCAGACAAGGGGCTCCAGGAGCTCGGTCCTGCATAGTCAAGGGGCAAGCAGCAACGGTCGCTGCGCAAGACACGTACTTCTCCGAGCCGTCCGTCTTCATTCGCAGCGCGCCGGCCTGCAGGCTCCACGGCGTGGAAATGGCGTGGCCCCTGTCGCAGTCGAGCTGCCGCAAGCGCTCGGCGCGCTCTCCCGCAACATCTGTGGTCAGGTGGCTGAAGCTGTGCCGGTCGGAGTCCAGGAAGTCCTCGCAAGAGCCTTCCACGGACCCATCGAGCTTCTTGTGCAAGAGGCAGTTGT